GTCTTTAGCCCCAGGCCTGACGGGATAGCCAGGACTTAAGGGCTTTGCGGAAGGCCTGGAGGGTGGTGAGGATATGAATCTCCACGGGGAGATGGTTCCATAGGGTCGGAGCTGCCACCGAGAAGGCTCTCCTCCGCGTGGTTGCCAGTCGACATTGACCGGCAGATGGAACTCGGAGGAGGCCTAATCTATGGGATCTAATTATAGTCTAAGAATAATTGTTCTCTGAGTGCTACATTTAAACTATCTCCTCCCCCCTTTTCTTAGCTTTTTTTTCAGTGAACTGTCTGAAAGAAACTGAAATAGAAGCTCCATGTCCCCAGAATAATCTAGATGTATGCTATTGGAAGAGCATGAAATATAAAATGGTACATTCATATTTCTTCTATGCTTTGGTTTTTCTTTAAATTTATACTTCTATGACTATTTTGAAATGTTTATCTTCTTCTAATGCTGTTCCATACCTAATTCTAGCCAATTAAAAAAAGTTGCTTATAAATCTAAATTTTGCTAAAATGATTAAATTCTATTAACCCAGTGGATATTTCACTAATTGAAAAGATAACATTATCAGTGCTAGTGAACAGTGGTAAATATGAAACATATTTAAAGTATTAAATATAACTCTTGAGTTCAAAATAAAAAGATAAATATTTCCACCCAGTCAGACTTTTAAATTATTCTACTGCTGTGTACCAGAATTTGTAATGCTTCAGCCATTCATATTTAGGAATAAAGCTCAATGGCAACCATATCTGAATAATTTAATACAAATTTATACCATAAAAGAAATTATTGCAAGGAATTGGTGAAAATGGAAAGTGTAAAAGGATTGTTATATTAAAATATTTAAGTTAAACATATGTGAGTATTCAAGTACACTTCACAATAAATGTGATAGTATGTGTTATATATTTTGAACAAAAGTTATTTTATCTTATTGGTCTTCTAATTTGCAATTCTTTTTTTATAGCTAAGTAAAGAATTGGAACTGCAGGTACCAGTTGGACTCAAACATCACCTTGCCTTGGTTTGTGCAATAACACTTATTACCACAGGATTATGTTCCAGTTTTATCCTTTCAGCTTTATGCAGATATGGGCCCATTCATTGCTCAATGTGATATTAAACAAGTTATTATTGAAATCATGAAAACGCTGTCAAACTGTCCAAATTATAGATAAGAAAAGAGCAAGCTTGATCATGTACCAAAAGCTGGGATTGATACTTGGCCTTTTGGGTCTCTCAACATCTCATTCATCACTACTGTAATCAAGTTTTCTCTTTGCTTTCACTTTTCTCAACTTTATGGGCAAAGTCTGGCTTCAATTAATATGACCAAATTATAATTGAGCCTGGCTGATTTGTTCTATGATCTATTGCAGTGGTGGCTAATCTTTGGCATGGGGTGCTGAAACAGGAGCATACGTTAGCGTGCACGCCGAAACCTGGGAGAGAGCAGCGGGGCTCGTGTGCATTCTGGGTTCCGTTGCATGCATGCACGCCAGCTGGCTGGTCGAGTATGCATGCGCATGCAGCTAGCTGCTCTCTTCTGGGTTGCATCATGTACATGCGTGCCGGCCAGCTGGTCTTTGCACATGCTAGCTGCACTTCCGGGTTCCATTGCGGGCATGCTGAAGACTAGTTTGCTGGCATGCAACAGAACCCGGAAGAGAGTGGCTGGGAGCAAGCTTATGCGCACAGAAGAGCTGACTGGCATGCATGCGTGCAATGGAATCTGGAAGTGCAGTTGGCGATGATGTGTGTACCCAGAGAGGGTTCTGCTTGCTACCTCTGGCACACATGCCACAGGTTTGCCATCACAGATCTATCGGTATTCATTTGTTTCCTTGGCTGTATAGGTAGTCTTAACAACTGTGGCAAAGTCGGTCATAAATTGGATTTACTCACTTAACATGTCTCACTTAGCAACAGAAATCTGGGGTTCAATTGTAGTTGTAAGTCAAGTAAGTGATTTTTGAAGAATTTTGTTCAACACCACATTCAGTCTTTTTATCCTGCTTCTTAAAAGTCCAGGTTTTTTTTCTTCCATACAGTGTTACAGGAAATACTTCCATAGTTGTAATGTCTGTGTTTATAGACAGGAATATCTTTTCCAAGCATTGAAAAAATGCTAAATATAAACCATTTGCTTTGAATTGCTGGAAAAAAATGAGCAATTTAAAATGTTCTCAATTTTTCTGTCATGTGCCATTGTTATAGAAAATATTGAATATTTATAAATTTTTATGCAGAAGAACATATGTCTTCAAATGTTGTTGCAAATACTTCAGTTTTCAATCTAAATTCATGTAATTTAATTGCTTTTCACATGTACTAGATCTGTCTCAAATGAGTCCCCTCTAAAACATTACTTTTAAAAAAACCTTGTCATGTGGTATCTTTCATCACTGGATAACAAATTGCTAGAACATTGGGTCTTTTGTTCTTTCTACAACATGCTATGTGATAACTGAGGCAAAGCTACAGCTACTGCACTACTTCAAGATCTATTTGAACAATGCTCTGTATTTGCTTGGAGTGTTTTTTGTCACTGAATTAACTACTTATAAGAAGTTGAGGTATTTCATGAAATATCAGCTGTAAATCTGTTTATAGTATCCTTGGATACAAAATCTTTTAGAATTTTATTGGGTGAAATTTACTGGAAATGAATATAACTATTTGCACTTACTGGAAAATGAATCTTCCTCTAATTGTAAATATACAATTACAAATAATTCTTCTGTACATTTAGGCTGGGTTCACAGGAACTCTGTCAGTATATCAATATTGTAAGTTCTTATGCTTCTTTTATAGAGTTGGCTTGCACAATAATTAGGGAAAGGCATATATGTACAACCTCAGTTTCATAGAGAATTCAGTTTCAGTTTTTTATGTTTTTATAAATCAGCAAAATCTAATGAACTATTCTTGAAAAGAACGTTTTAAGGCCGTTTTTTCTTATATTTGTTTTATACTGACACAAGAACTGTTCATTAATCACTGCAAAACTCTTCTATGTAGTGCAAAAGGAAATAGCATGATGGCAGGTGCTACTTGGTTTAAACTCTAAAGCAGGAAGAGGCAGAAAGACCCTTATAATGGTTAGCAATGTTTTAATGTTTAATTTCAAAAACATTTGGATTATGTACAGCATTGGGGATGGACATAAGTTATTTTTATGGTCAGTCAAATAAAAATTTACACTGAGGATAAGATTTTAGGTGACTGGTTTTTTTAACATTTTTGTCTAGTGAAACAAATGTTTCGCTAAACATTTTCCTTGTTTTGGCTTGGTCTGCTGGTTATTTCTCTTTTCATTTGATGATTCATTTTCAGGTTTTTATCTGTGCTTTATTATTCATTTCAATTACATACCCACTAATAGTGATAAGTTAGTGTACTTTTAGAAGTTAGATTTATACAGGTAGTCCTCAACTTACGTTTTATTTAGTGATTGTTCAAAGTTACAACAGTATTGAAAAGTGACTTATGACTTAGAACCATTGCAATAGTCACATGGTCAGAATTGGGAGGGGAGGGGCTTGGCAACAGGCATGTATTTATAACAGCTGCATGCGTGATCACCATTTGTAACTTTCCCAGTCAGCTTCCAACAAGCAAAGTCAATGGGGGAAGCCAGATTCATTTTCTGACATGATTCACTTAACTGCAGTGATTCCCTTAATAGCCATGGCAAAAAGATCATGAAATGGGATAAAACTCACTTAACTGACTTGCTTAACAACAGCAATGTTGGGCTCAATTGTGGCCATAGGTTGAGGAGTACCTATATTCACTTCAAAGCAATATTTTCTAGTTATTTATTGTCAGTGACAACCTCACTGCTAAACCTGATGCTTATTATTCTAATCATATTTTGGGTTAAATCAGGATATTGGCAACTTTGTAGAAAATGAAGTTTACAAAGAATTAGGTGATTTTAGTCAGAAGCCTGACTAATAATTCCAGTGCAAGAGGGAAAAAATCATAATTTAGCTGAGAAAAATAACTATTGAGCTTGTAATAGTTTCTGTTTGAGATGCCACATTTCAGTAGCAATACTACGTTTTATAAAATTAAATTGAGATTTCCAAATTATTTTAAAAAATAAGCATACGTTTTGGAAAATTGGATAATACGGCAACGTCTTTTAGATTACTTGTTAACGTTATGTTTTGTAAAATGCGTTTTGTTTTTATATTGATATTTTTAAATATCTATTTTTTACATTTTACATTTATTACAATTTGGCTGGTTCTGGAGCGAAAAGCATTGTAGAAACAAATGCATACCAATACATACAAAAATGCACATACAAAACGCACACATACAAATCACTCGTTTTACTTGAGCAATAATTAAACACAAAAATATTTTTATAACCTATAATAAAGCTTAAATCAAAACGACAGGGGGCAAACAAGGGTTTTCAGAATGTAAAACTACATACAAGTCCTTCGGGATTGGGCGGCATATAAATCCCATTAATAAATAAATAAATAATAAATACAAACTGTAGACAAACACAAAGAATAAAAGAATCTTTGCATTCTTGATCCCATGATCTCGACGTTCCCTGTGCATTTGTGCAGCTTACCCAATAATTTGCCTTCACGCCAATAGAGTCTTTACAGATACCTTGTGGGAAATGGAATACCACCGCTGTCCCTCCATGCAACAATAGGACCGCTAAGTCTCAGTAACTGTGCCTGCATCGCGCCTCCCCCCGCCTCCTTCCTTCTGTCTGTCTGTGGCGCCGAGCTCAGCGCCCGAAGCCGCCTGCCCGGCTCCGCCTCTTCCTTTCCCGGGCTGTGACCACGCGCGGCGATTCCGCTCACTCCCTTGGCCGCCCGGTGGGCCCTCCCCGCCATTGTAGGAGGCCGCGCCCTGCCCCAAGCGGTCAGGCCGGTAGCGAGAAGCTTGGCTCCCGTCCGGTGGCTCTGAGCGGCGTGGTGGCTGCGGGTTCTTCCTGGAGGAGCGGAGACCTGGCTGGAACGCAGGAAGGGCAGGGGGATCGCAGCTTCCTCTTCGGGTAGGAGGGGGGGAAAAACCCACACCACACAAATACACACTAAGCAATATTCAGGCCCGGGGGCTGAAGGGTTTGGCGGAGTCTCTCCCTCTACGCGCGCCCGGGAGGAAGTGGGGTTGTGGGCCCGCTGAAGGGGAAAGGGGCTGCTTTTCCCTTGAGGGCGGGCAGGTGGGCGAGAAAGCGGGGTGGGTGGGGTGAGGAGGGGGGTCTGCAGGAGTTCCTCAGCCGGCCCCCCTCGCGGCTGCTGCTCTCTCCTCTCGGAACTGAAAGGCTCCGGCTGGTGTACTTTTCCTTACTTCTTGCGCATTTTATTACCACAGACCGTGTAGGCGAATAGTTTAGCTCCTACTTATAAAGGAGCTGTTCATAAACTCGCGTGTCTCTTTTCTCATTCTTTAACCCCTAGAAGCCAACAGAAAAACCTTTGTGGCCTTTGGAGGCTGCTCCTCTGAGAAGGGCAAAGATGGTCCCGGACCAGGCCCGTTGGGCGGGTTAGGTTCTTTCTCCCTTGTCCCCGGAAGCAGGTGGCGCAGAGTAGTTGTAGCTCGCGGGCAAAATGAGCGCTATTGTAATGGTACTGTAAGGAAGAGGCGCCGCTGCTCCGTGTCGCTTACCTGCCCTTTTTCTATGGGGGAATAAGCCTGCTTCGTTACCTAGAGGGCGAATGCAGGTGAGCGTTTTTTGTTATTTCCTGCTCTGCTCTTTGTTGTTAGGTTTTTGAGGAAGTGTAAGAACCCCTGGTAGTTGGGAGGTATCAGAAAGAATATTCCTCTCCATATCTGTTCCTGTGGAACAATGGCAAGAAATGGATTATTACATTCTTGTCCTTCTCTTGATTTTCTCATCTTTGAAACAAAATGCAAAACTACTTGATCCAGTAGAGTACCGGTAGTTCTAATTTCTTAAGACTTGGAAGGCAGTGACCTTCAGTCTTTTTGTGTCCACACCTGATCTTAGAATATTTGTGAACATACTTAAAATGGGAGTGTCATAGTTGTACTCTTTCTTTCAGGTGATTATATTGGGTATGATGTTTTTAGATCCTGATCACCCTAGAGGAGGGTGTGTTGGAATGAGAAAAAGGCTTCATCTGCCTTCTTCCTCTTTTTTTGGTTCACTGACAGGAGTTCAAGATGTTGAAATAAATTTAAGGATGATATGTCATTATTTGTTCAAAGAGAGGAGCAAATATTTGCTTGTGCAATTCCATCCTGATATCTTAAAATATTTATTTAAAACTTAGTTGATAATATTTTAATTTAGCTGTTATTTAACCTTTATTTAATTTTTAGAGTACTGTTAAAAATTAAACAATGAATAGTTCATTAAAAATTGTTTTTAGTTGCAAACAATTTTACTTAAACTTACAAATACAATATATTATATAAGTCTTATGTCCTTTGTAAGCTAAATAAATAAGGTAGAGAATTATTTGAATATCAATAGAACATTTTGACTGACAGATCATAGACCAGAAATCAGTCTTTCCTAGCCCTGTGTTACAATAATAATAACCTGTTTTACTACTGCAGCTTTCTGACTTGGAAAGTTCCTGCAAGCAAATGCTGTAGAAATAGATTCTTATATGGGCTAGACTATGTGGTCTCCCATGTTTCCTCTAGTTGTTACATTCCTGAATATTATGATTTGATATTGTACAAAGGTGTCCAAATGATTGCTTATACATTATACAGAATCACTATTGTTTAAATCATAATTGGCTAGCTCATATAATATGCATTCGACTGTATGAGTGAGTGATCAGTGGTGTAATAATTAAATAATTGCACTTTTAATGTCTTGTGATTATTGGATTTATGCAGTGGTTTATTTGGTTTTAACTGAGCATGTTATTGAGGATGAGATGGTTAGATAGTATCGATGCAGTGGGCAGACTCCAGGAGACATTGGGGGATGCTGGGGGGGGGGGAGCTACATTGTGCTGTGGTCCATGGGGTCGCAAAGAGTCAGATACGATTTAGCGACTGAACAACAATTATGTCATTTGAATCCAGCCATTACAAATAATTCAATAAACCATAGTCAGACAAACATGATGTATGACTTGGACCTGTGAGCATGTATGAATGCGTATTAGAGAGGAAGTATGTATGAAAGGACTAAACGGCAGAATCCTAGAGTACTGAAGCACAACTGAAAACCAGTTTTCATGGCTACTATTTTAAAAAATGGGTCAACTTTGTTTTGCTATGCATTTATATTTTTCGTATCTGTATCTATCACAAAGGTATTTTTCAATTGTCTTTTGAAAAGTACCTTTATGATAATCATGACCTGGATAATTGAGATTCTCTGTAGACGTATCTGTATCTGTTATATGATGTCATCATTGTTGTATGATGTGGCTCAACTCTAGACCTAGAAAGAAAAAAAGGTCCTTTGGATTCTGTGCAACTATTCAGCATGAAAATCTTATGTGAATAAAGATATATGTGAATTAGCAGAAACAAATAAATTTAATTTCTGACTGCACTACTTTTGGTTTTTTAATGTCTGAATATTTGTAGAAGTATAAAACTGAAAACCACAGTTGTATATTTGCATGGTTAGCCAATATAATAACAATGTAAGTAATAATGTTGACCACAAATTTTTGAAAACTTTATTTTGTGTAATATTCCAATGTATAATTGAATGCATTTTGTTCCCTTGGAATGTATTATTCTGCTCTAAGTACGGTACTCAAATTCTAAATAACCCTTATAGGGTTACTTATTGTGGCTTTGTTCATGTTTATATTGTTTCTGTATTTATACCTTAATGTTATGCCTACAACACTATGTAAGCATAAATAGCTTGTAGATCTCAGGAAAAATATAGTTGATTTTCAAACATTGATGAATAGTTATATATTTGATAATAACTTTAGTATTTATTTGCCACTCAGAGTTGATTTGAATGGGATGGACAACATATAATTAATAAATAAACTTCCTTCCATCATCCTTCTTTGGTGTGTTATTTATTGCCATAAGCCAGCAATTTTGGGTAGCATAATATTTCTATCTTTTTGAGGGGGTTTTGCAGCTAGGTCAAAAAGAGTGAATGACTCTGATGAATATATTAAGTATTTTGTAGAGGAAACATTACCTTCAAATTGCTGCAAATATTTGTTGCAAAAGAAAGAATGAAACTAATCATGAAACTGAAGATTTTTGAGGGTTAAGGTGCTGATCTAGAAATCATGAGAATGTTAGTTCTAGTCCTGCCTTAGCCATCAAAGCTGGCTGGCTGATTTGGATGAGGCATACTTACTCAGACCCACTCAAACCCACTTCACAGAGTTGTTGTTTTAGGAAAAATAGTTATTAATTGTTCATCTATTGATGGCTTGTCTTTTATTTGTACACTCTGCAGTTACATCAGGAAGTCAGTAGAAACAGTTTTGATATGCTGTTTGTGAAGTGGCCTTCCCTCCTACTAATAACTGAATTATAATAAACTAAACAAATCAATTCCAAAACATTTTGGAATATTTTATAATATTCTATCCCAGTGAAATAAATGGGGCCTAACTGACATTACGTACCAG